CTACATGATCTGACCAAGTACCAAAGAGAGGATGACAGTATGACAAATTTAGCAGTGTGAATTCAGCAGTATTAGTATCAAGTAAAAATAAAGCTAAAAAATTTATTCATTGCATATGCGTCAATTTTACATGCCTTAAGCTGCACTAACCATAATAAAAGCATGATGGGGCTACCTTCCTTGTTGATTTAAAAAATTGTATCTGAATAGATTAAAAATCACCCAAGAGACACAAAGCGATTGATGCAAAACTACTGGGAAGCACCTCTACTAGTAAGGAGCCATGAGAAATGGCAAGGGCTCCAAGAGACAGATGACTAACATTGTGTCTATAGAGATATCAATGTAACGTTGTGTCTATATAAAACCCAAGATACCACTAACACCATATCCACATAGACACCTATATAACACTGTATCTATACAGACAACATAACATTGTATCTATAAAAGACCTTGATACAATGTATTTATAACCCCAACGTAACACTGTGTAACACTATATTTATACAAACCTCAATTTCAATTTGATTGTGAAACTGACACAGGGTGAGCCACAGGATTTCTAACCTTAAAAACAAACAGATTTATAGCATTGGTGAGAAGATTCCTTTTAGCAAAATCTTCAACCCCCTTGCCCTGCAGAGGGCAGTACTGGGCAGTTAATTCTCCTTCAGGAGACAGATGCTGAGCCTTCTTCAGCCTAAATCTAAATCTTAAAATACAACAGTGAGAAAAAAGGCTACTTTTATTACATAGCGGTCTTCACTGTTCTTATTAAACACTCCTATATCTGCAGCTTTAGTATGCCCTGCAAGCCATTGCTTCTCAAGTTTGTCTTCCAGCTCAGGAAACCTTGCCCATCGGTCCTCACCCAGTCATCTCACGGCAGCGCAGACTGGACAGGCCCTTGCTTATGCCACTCCCATGACTGGCTCCCAGAGTTCCTGACTTCAGAACCAGCATTTTAAAATTTTTATTTGCAGAAGTTGGAAATGGGGAGCCATCCAGAATCCCATCCCTGGGCCTTCGTTCACTACTCCCTGGATACACAGTCCCCCTCGTAACACTCTTACACTCCCCACTTCGGCCTCAAGCCCAGGCCACCAGGAGCCCCTTCCAGCCCTTCTCCCAGCTTCTCACCACCCACCCCCACACTCCGGCCTCAGAAATGCAACAGCCACCACTCAGACATGCCGCTCCTCATGGCACCTCCCAGCATTCTGTTCCAAACACTTGACAAGGCCTGGGGGCCGTGGGAGGGCTCTTGCTTGGCCTCAGCACCCACAGCACCCTGGAGGCCTAATGTGCCTGGATCCCATGTTCCACCCTCCCACCACCCCCACCCCCCAATAACTGAGCAAGAGGAGGGCAGCCCCTGGAAGTCTGCTGTCTTTTCCAGGGACAGGATGGTAATCACTGAGCTAACAGACACGAGGCGGGAAGAGAAAGGTTCTCACAATTATCTTCCAGTGGGGCTGAAGGCAATACTTAAGTCCCGGAACCCAGGGTGTAAGGACATACCAGATTTTTACATTCAGTTTCCACAACAGGGTGAACCTAACTGCTGTCAAATAGCAGCGGGTCACGTGTTCAGGTTTCACATTTGCTAAACTAACTGGAGCACTTTCCCGGGAGGACAGGACAAATGAGACAGCACAATGTCTGACTTACGCTCCGGGGCCTTGCCACGTCCACGTGATGGTGTCCTGGGGGCAAGAAATGAATGGATGAAACATGACTGGGAGTTGGACATCAGAAATTCCTGGGGATGCCAAACGGGGCCCTTCCTCCCTGCCCTTATTCTAACCTTCCTGACTCCAGATGCTGAGCTCCTCATCCTCCCAAGTCCACTCTGGGGCAGAGAAGAAGGTGGGTGCTCACCACCTAAGACCCCCTCTCCCAGCTCCTTTTCCTGCCCCCCCCCCCGCATCCCCCAGGTATCCCTGGCAACCTCAACTGACAACAAGGAGACTTTGTCCATCTGCTCCCTCAGACTTGCTCATGAGGGCCTGTGACACCCAGCCAAATTCCAACACCACACCCGCCTGCACCCCTAACTCTAGCAGGTTGGACCCAGGTTTGGGAAGGGGTAGAACAAGTCACTGCAGAGCCATGTCTCCCGCACTCCCGTGCCAGGCCAGGGCCCCACTGGGCATTTCTGACCCTCTCCATTCTCAGCCTCAGCAGTCACCAAGGTGGGACACTGGAGGACAGGTGCCTGTTTCTACCCTGACCAAGGTCACCTATGGAGGCTTTTTCCTTCTGCAGTCCTGACACCCATGCACCCCTCTCACAGGCTCCAAAAACCCCTGGTACTGGGTTCCCTGCCGCCCATGTGGCCCCCTCTGTACAGGTCTGTACTCAAACCTGCCAGCAGTGGGCTATGCCTGTGGCTATGCAGCTGAACACAGGACATGGGCCACAAACAGGCAAAGCAGGTGCCTCTGACACCCGAGCTGCACACTGTGGAACCTATAAGAAACCTTGCTTACAATACGTTCATGGGACAAACTAAAAAAATGGAAAATCTAGAATTCTACACACCAATGACAGATTCTCTTATTTGCAGAGACTGACGAACAAACACACCTCTTCAGTTTCAGCTGTGCTGCGAGAACAATTTTATCTGTCAGTCTGCGTGGCGACCAGTTCTGACTGACATTTATTTAGTGGCCACTCAGAGAGCCTCCACTGTGCCTGTCCAGACCCTTAGGCCCAGTGTGCAAATCTTAGACCCTATAGGCCTGGCTCATATGTCACATGTAATTCTGCACCGTCTATACCAGGGGCTCCAGAGCCCACCATGTCCTGGCTGGTAGGTTTCTTCCTTTGCTGTCATAAAGACACTGCAACGGAGAGAAAGCTCCATGTTACGAGCAGATCTGTCTCAGGTGCCTCAGTGGAGAACCACTCCCATGTGTCCAGGTCCCAGGCAGGGCGGGGACACGAGTGTGTTTGGACCTCTCTCGGCTGCAAGGACCGTCAGCTCATCAAGGTGAGATGGCACCCATGGACGGGGTTACAGAAGTGAGACGCAGCCAGCATGAAAACCGCTCCCACAGGGCACCTGGGAGAAGGGGGTAGCCATGGCTACTTTGCAGATGTCGACGTGCAGACTAGCAGGGCCCTGGCTGAACCTGCTCTGAGGTCCTGTCCCAGCTCTGCCTCTGAGCTGGGGATCCATCAAGATTGTCTGGGAGCTCTGAGCCCCAAACACCCCTTCTTTTATTTTGTTCTCTTGGAACAAACAAAACCTCTGCACATAAGCAAGATAAAGGCACATGAACCACAAAGTCACCTAATTCCTTTCTCTCCTGCTGCCTCCAGCCTTTCAGAACTTGAATATTCTTAATTTATAATTTTCCTAGAGTGTGAACTGGACAGTGACAGCTGCTGAGGACACTGGGCAGAGAGGGGAGACGTTCACATGGAAATGTCAGGATTGATCACATGAGAGGAGGACCACTCCCTGACCTATGAAGGCAGGATTCTGTGCGTGAATATTTGGGAATATTCGGCATAGCAGGGTTGACTGGAAAACCCGTGTGTTCAAACACCTTGCAGTTCTCACTCCCAGGGCCTCCGCCTGAACACAGATCCACAGAACACACTCACCAGCTTATTTGGGTACCGCAGGACCACCGGCTGGACAGGAACTCCCGGGATGAAGGCACCTGCAGAGAAAAGGGACACAGGAACCGTCTTACTGCCAGGGTGGCAGGTCCTGTGCCTGCGTGGCTCATGCTGGCCTCAGAATAAAATGGGATTTCCTGCCAGGCTTTCCTGGTCAGCAGCAACCCAATGCCTGGAAGGTCCCCCCCAATCTGTGATGGTGGAAAATACAGAGAATTCCAGGGTCACAGCCCTGCTGGCAGGAGGCAGACAGGAGTGTCTCCAGGCTGAGCTGCACTTTGATAGGACAATGGAAGCACTGGTGGGAGTGAGGGTCTCCCCCACTTTTTCAAGAAGAAAAAAATAATTAAGAAAACTACAGCCTGGCCGTGTGGCTCGGTGATTGAGCGCTGACCCATGAACCAGGAGGTCACAGTTCGATTCCCGATCAGGGCACATGCCCAGGTTGTGGGCTCGATCCTCAGTGGGGGGCGTGCAGGAGGCAGCTGATCGATGATTCTCATCATTGATGCTTCTATCCCTCCTTCCTGCTTCCTTTCTCTCTCTGGAATCAATAAAAACATTGAAAAAAAAAGCTACATACCAGGTTTGAAGGTAATTAGGCAGGTCCTGTTGGTACAAGTTCCCTCTGGAAAAATCATTATCTTGAAATAAAAAAAAGAAGAGAAAAAAGAGTTCAGCAATAAAGGGACATAATTCAGAATTCACAGGTGCCAATTTTCACAATCTATTTCCCTACTGCTGACATAATTTAGATACTTTAATCATTTTCAGTTGAACAAGGTAAAATGCATTTTGGAAGATTATGCTGATTTCTTCTCTAACTATAAAATTTATTAAAATCTGGAAGCAACGCAAGTAGACAACAGCATGTGCCTTCTTAGACCAGGGAGTTGCATATGCTAACTGTGGTCCCTGCCTCCTGGCTGCTTCGAGGACCAGACACAACTGCACAGAACAGGCTGTCAGTGGGAGCAGGCATCCTGAGGCAGAGCGGGACAGGGACACACAGATGAGAGCGTGTGGCGAAAGGACTCAGGACACAGAATGGCCCTGGGGATGGGGGTGCTGGCCGGCAAGTGGAAACCCCAACAGAATCCACAGTAACACCTTCCCCATAGCTGAAAAATACCACCTGTGTGGGTGCTTTCAATTCTGGTCCCTGAAGGGCAGACCACCTCCAGGTAACAAAGAGCCACCAGGGGTCCAACCCTGGCATCCCCGAGAGTCTGGCAGGTAAGCTGAAGGAGGGGCAGGAATGGCCTGCACTGGTAGGGGTGGCAGCCAGGGAACCACTCCAAGTGGCTGCCCATGGGTACAGGTGCTGGGAGCCAGCCCCCCTTGTGTTTCCTGAGCAGCCAGAACCCAGAGTCTGGGGGGATTTCCAGCTTCTGAATGTTGGCACAGTTTAAAAGAAGAAAATTACAGCTTGGGTCAAACACTTCGACGGCTAACAGCAGCTGAGGCCTGTGCCTCATGGCCTGGGTCAGAAACCAGATGCACGCAGGAAGCTCAGCCCATGACCCCAAAGCAGTGGGCACCTTATAGACGAATGCTCTGCTCAGAACCGAGGTCCTGCCGACCCCGCGGACTGGGTAGCAGCTCTTTCTGACTCAGAACTTATACAAAGATTTGTTGTCAATAAAGACGATTGTGGGAACTTGAGATGCAAGTCTGAATGGTTTCTTCTTCTTTCTTTTAATTTTAAAATTCCAGAATCAAAAGTACCTGATATTTAGCAGATTCTTGGATTTACACTCACCAGAAATAAAAGGAAACTAAACACAGCCAGTCCCTATGGAAGGCAGGTTCTGGCCCTTTTGTTTCTTCTCCCCTCAGTCTTTAAGCTCACAACTTCTGGAATAAATCCACTCAAACGCAAGCAGGGCCCGGTTACCTGTGGCCACTTGCCGTTTGACTGCGCCCGTCTCTTGATTTCCTCCACGGTCCTCCTGCGAGAATCCTGGTCTGACCGGGACACGAAGACAGGCCGTATGTACTTGATCAGAGCTGAAAGGGAAGTGGAGGTGTCATGTGGGGATACACCACTTCCGCTGAGCAGGACCTGGTGATAGGTGAGACCCCTAGAGGTCCCAGGGGCTGTACCACGGGGTGGGTGGGAGTCCATGCCTGGCCACAGGGAACTGGGAAACCACCAAAGCTTCCAGTAAACTTAGAGGACAGCATGAAGCCTTAGTAACAACACTGAGAGTCCACAGGAGGTTATGCACCCCGGTGCTCCCGCCCTTCGATTGCCATGGTGTGGGTCCGGGTTGATGGAGCCGATGCCTGACCCATCAGGGAGCAGACAGCCTCTGTCACTGTAAATAAATAAGGGTGTGAGGGCCATGGACTCAGAGTCGCAGGGCCCAGGACACGTGGCTCCTGTTGTGGGGTGAACTGTGTCCCTCAAAAAGATAGGCTGATGTCCTAGCCCCAAACACCTGTGAGAGTGATCTTATTTGGAAAGAAGATATATTTTTAAAAAATATGTATTGATTTCAGAGAAAAGAAGAGAGAGGGTGAGAGGGATAGAAACATCCATGATGAGCGAGAATCATTGACTGGCTGCCTCCTGCATTTCCCACACCGCGGATCGGGCATTTGCGCTGCCTGGGAATCAAAATGACTGAGACTTCCTGGTTCATGGGTTAACCCTCAACCACTGAGCCACAGCGGCCAGGCAGAAAGAAGATACTTGCAGGTGTACTCAAGGTACAGGGAGGTAGTGTGGATTGAAGTGGGCCCTAATCAGTGACTGGGTTTCATAAGAAGGGGTAACAGACACAGAGGGAGAGAACCATCGCCTGCCTCTGCTAGACAAGCCCTGCTCCAGAACCCACGTGAGGTTTAAAGGGCAGCCTGTACGGCTTAGTTGGTTAGAGTGTTTGTCCTGCGCACTGAAAGGCCACGGGTTTAATTCCTAGTCAGGGCACATACTCAGGTTGTGGGTTCCATCCACTAGTCAGAGTGGGTACAGGAGGCAGCCGATCGATGTTTCTCTTTCACATGGATGTTTCTCTCTCTCTCTTCCTCTCGAAAAAAAATCAATAAAAATATATCTTTGGGTGAGGATTTGGAAAAAAAAAAAAGGCAGAGGCTGGTTGGCGAGGAGGAGAGGAGAGGCAGGGCCCAGGCAGAGCAGCTGGAGGAACCACGGGGATGCAAACCTGGCACAGGCTGGCCAACCCTCCAGGAGCACCATGGGCAGTGTTCCAGAAGAGCTGGGCCAGGCTTGGCATGAGAGTGCTTTCATCTGTGAAGTGAGGGGACCATGTAGAGCACCCAGGGGGCCACTTAGAGTGCCCAGGATTCCTTACAGCCTCCAAAATAATGGTGAGTGTGCTCCATGGTGACCCCAAAAAGATGTGCCTATGTCTTAGCCTCCAGAATCTGTGAATGTGACATTTTAAAACAGGTAAGGATCTTGACATGAGCTCACCCTGGATTATAAGACACACAGAGACACAGACACAGGCAGAGGCCCTGGGACAATGGAGAAAGAGGTGGAGTGACTGGACCACAGGCCCAGGGACGCCTGAGCATCAGGAGCTGGGGAGGCAGGAAGGCCGTTCTGCCCCCCCGAGTCGCATCGGGGTCTCAGTCCTGAGATAACGTGATGAGGGCCTTCTGGCTCCAGAATGAGAGCACACAGTTCTGTTGTTTTAAGCCACAGTGATCTACCATGAAGTCGAGGGACCCTCCTGTGCCTGGGTTTCGAGAACAATAACTAGTGTGCTGGGACGGAGCCCTGTGCTGTGCCCAGACTTTTAGGATCCTCGGTGATAGAACTTGAAGAAGTAATTCAACAAATTATATTTAAGGGCAGTAATGAAAAATAAAACCCACAATGACTATTGCACAGGAAATCACAACAAAGGAAAGATAACAGGGACGCAAGCCCAGGGCCTATTTCAGGTGGGAGTGACCTGCACTGAGGGCGGGCGGGGAGGGCCTCACTCACTTCCCCATATCGGGATGTCTCTGCTCTCGGCCTTCATCACGATGGAGGACATGGTCATGGTGACGGGGATGGCATCGAAGTAGGAGGAGTGTGGTGCCAGGGTGAGGATGGCTGCCTCGGTGGGCAGGGCCTGCCGCCCCTTCACGGTCACCCGGTGGAAGCCACCAACGAACCACATGGTCCGCATGATGGCCTTGAGCAGGAAGTCCACGACCCTGCAAGAGAGGGTGCAAGTCAAACGGGAGTCTCCTTCCTCCTGTGGACAGTCATGGACATCCTTGAACCAGATGAGCTCACCAGGAGAGCACAGGGACTCGCTGCAGCCAAGGTCAGGGAGAGGTAGACGCAGCCAGCAAAACAAGAAGGGATACATGGCGGGTAAAGGGTCACAGAGGTGGGGGGATAACTAGACACTGAGGAGACAGTGTGTCCAGGTGGAGGGAGCGTCCTGACATCGAACCCTGGGTGCTGGTCCCTGAACATGCAGGCATGTGAAGAGTGGGACAAGAGCCCAGTCCACCTGGGTCTTTGAGATCCATGTGGTCCTGGAGATTGCTGATCTGCATGTTATAAATGGTTTTGCTACAAAAGGGAGCAAGCACCTGGACAATGGGAGAGGTTAGAGCTGGCCTGTGTGTTGATGGAACACTCCACCTTCTATTCCCCTTTCCCCCCACCACCATGAAGCAATGCCAGCTGACGATGCACAGGAGGGGCCTGAGGCCACATCCTGGGGCTGCGAGGACAGGAAGGGACTGGGCCATGACCTGGAGCTGCAAGGAGCTTCAAGCTCAATGCAGGGCCAGTCTGGCCGGGAGCAGGGCCAGTCCCTGGGCAGCAGGTCTCAAGGCAGTGCTGGGCTGCACACAGGAGGGCAGGTGGGGGCTGCAGGGCTTCTCCAGGGCAATCCCAAGCTAAGACCCTGGGGTGGGGGAGGCTTTCAGGAGAGCAAAGCTGAAAGTAAGTTCAAGTCCAGGCCCTGGTCTCCAGTGCACACATGGCACCAGGCTGTCATGAAGATGGACTTCTCAGATCTGAGAGCAGAATCCCCACACGGAGCACTCGGGACTGAACCATGTCCCCCAAACTCCTATGTTGAAGCCCTAATCCCCAATATTTTGAAATAAGGTGAAATGAGATCACAGGGTAGGGCTTGCATCTGATAGGATCAGTGCCTTTATAAGGAGAGGAAGAAAGACCAGAACACTGTCCTGTGAGGACACAGGGCGAAGGTGGCATCTGCAGCCAGAAAGAGACCCTTCCCAGAAAGTCAGCCATGCCCGCACCCTGGCCACCGACTTCCAGCCTCCAGGCATGAATATCTGTTGTTTAGTCCCGGCTGGTGGTACTTGGTTAGGCAGCCTGACAGGACTAAGACACCCTCTTTCTACCACATGAGTTGGGGGTGTGTGTGTGTGTGTCAGAACCAAGACGACCATTACCACAGCCTGCCTGGCTCAGGTGTCGGCCTGCTGATCAGGTGTTGCAAGAAGATACTAGATTTTACAACACTGTGTGTTTTGAAAGTAACTTAGAGTAAGTGACTTTTGTGAAAGGGCACACTTCCTTTCATTAACAAAACCTAAGATTTTTATTTTAGGAACTTTTGAATGACACTAACATACATTGAACAAAAAGGCTCCCTAACCTAACATCGGTCTATTCAGAGCCACACAGCTGTGCACAGCGGGGAGGACCCACCTCCCCACCCACTGCACGAGTGTGCTCCCCATTGTGCACAAGGCCGAAGGGCATATGCTCTGAGCCCTGTTATTTCAAAACCTGTTTCCTCTTGCCTACCTGGGTCCCACACTTGGGCACAAGTCATTGTGTGTTTCTCTCAGGAGTTCAATGTGCAGTTTGTTCTCCCATTTGTTTTAAATATATTTTTACTGATTTCAAAGGAAGGGAGAGAGAGATACAAGCATCAATGATGAGAATCCTTTATAAGCTGCCTCCTGCACACCCCACACTCCACACTGGGGTTTGAGGGCTGGGGGACATGGAAATAGCAGCCATGTGGCTGGAAGGACCCTGTTGGAAGCTGGAGACCATGGCAGGGGTGTGGCAGGAGCCGCAGTGTCCCAGCCCGGAGAGCGCAGCCCTGGCACACATTGCCCCGGGAAGGGGAGGATAAACACTGGGTGGATAGAAGCTGTGAGAACAAAGACATGGCTCTGTGACTCCCCACATCAGAGCACCACCGACAGGACTTACTTCCGCCACAAGGCCAGGGGCTGCTCCGGGTCCCTCTCAGCGGGTCCCAGGGAAGCGACGAGCGCAAAGGGCCAGGCGAGTAGCATCATGAAGGCGGCAAGCAGCAGCCGGATGGGAAAGAGCGTCAGCGTCATGACCGCGATCTGGGGAGACAGACTGAGGTTGTTCCAGAAGCACGGTCATCAGGGCACCTCTCCTCTGGAATCCTCGTGTGGAAGCTGCCAGGCACCGGTGCTACACCCACCCTGGCCAGGGTACTTTCATCTCAGGAACAGCCAGGTGGCTGAGCAGCAGTGACGCCTTACCCAGGTTACAGGGGACCTGCTACCCCTTTCCCACTCCATCCTAGTCCTAAAGTCACCCTGCGGGAGGCCGAGGACTGGGGTTGGGGACCCTCTCAAGTAGTCAACAGCGCTCCACCCCAACTCGCACACCTGCAGACAGTCTGAGCCCGAGCCTTATATGACACGAGGACACTATCACAGCACTAAGCTGTCATCTGTGAAACGGCAAGATGGCAGGGGTGGGGCGGCAAGACTAGGCCCCAGGAAGACCAGGGAATTAGGGGGGCTTTGCAGCCCAAGGAAGTTATAGGGCATGAGCCCAGCAGAGAATGTGCCACCGCGGGTCTAGCTGGGAAGACTCCAGGAAGGTGGTTGGGGCTCTGTAGGCAGGGGCAGGCCCTGCAGGTGAGGGGATAGTGCAAACATGGGGAGGGAGTGGGAATGATGGACACGTGGGTTCAGCCGAGTGGTCGAGTCCAGGAGAGTCCAGGTGGAAGGACAGCTGTCACTAAAACACAAGCACTTCCATGCACAACGACGTTCTGGCTCTGCACCAGCTGATACTCAGGCCGTCAGTCAGAAGAGGACCGGGAAGGATGACAGAACTGAAACTTATAAAGGCGTATGTCCCATACTGCAGTGTTCGGTTACCTGCAATAATACACACTTCAAATATGCAGGTTTGGTGCAGAGAAGACAGAAAAGACAGGAGGTCTGTGGAGAGGTCTCATGCTCTCGGCTGGCCAAGCCTGAACAGCCCCACCCGCCTCAGCTTGCTGGGCCTCTGTCACCTGCAACTGGGCGCATGTGGGCTGTTCCCTCAACCTCTGCAGATTCCCTTGGGCTCCCTGTCAAGACCAGCACAGCCCAACATGATATTCAATGCCAGCCATTTAATGCGTAATTATTAATTTCCTAGTGGCCACACTTTAAAAAATATAAAGGTGATGAAATTTATAGTTTATTTAATCCAATATACCTGCAATATCACTTCAGCATGTACTCAACATAAAAAATTATGAGGTACTCCATGATTTTTCATGTCAGAAATCCAGTGTGAGTTTTATGCTTATGGGGCATCCCAATTTACACTCATCTCGTTTTTTGTTTTTTAAATATATTTCTTTATTGATTTCAGAGAGGAAGGGAGAAGGAGAGAGATAGAAACATCAATGATGAGAGAGAATCATTGATCGGCTGCCTCCTGCACACCCCCCACTGGGGATCGAGCCTGCAACCCGGGCATGTGCCCTTGGCTGGAATTGAACCTGGGACCCTTCAGTCCACAGGCTGACTCTCTATCCACTGAGCCAAGCTGGCGAGAGCCACTCACCTCGTTTTAAGTGCTCAATAGCCACCTGTGGCCACGGCTGCCTGTTGGACAGTGCGGATTTGATAACCATGTTTTGCAAATGATGGCAATGTTTACTGGCCCTCCTCTCCTCCTCTTGCAGGAGCGGGGTGGAGAGAGCCCAGTGGGAAGCTCCAGTTTCAGCGGAGGCTGCACAGAAGCGGCAATCCCAGACCTGCTGTCCTGCTGGCCTCGGTGACCATGCTTCCCACTAAGTGGTGCTGGCTCGAGGCTGTCAGAAAATGTCTTCCTGGTGAGAACGTACCTTTGCACTCCTGGCTTTCTGAGAGCTTGGCTTTGCTTTACATTGTGACTGGGTGCTGAACTTTATAACAGGTCTGTGTCCAGTGGGTAAACCTGTGCCTGTCCTCACTCACCACAAGTGATGTGTTCACAGCTTGTCTCACATTAAAACCTTCGCGACAGTGCTGGGAAGTGACAGTTTCTTTTCTTAAAGCAGGGGTGGGGAACCTTTTTATTTTTTTTTGCCAAGGGTCATTTGGATATTTATAACAATGTCTGTGGGCCATACAAAATTATCAACTTAAAAATTATGTTGCTATGAAAAAAGCTCTTAGATTTATTGAATTTCAAATTCCGACTAATGTTGTCTTGGCAGGGTCAGGTGTCCCCATCCCTGTCTTAAAGGAATTGCTGGGGGAAAATAAATGAATGAATGAATGAATTGCTGGGTCTGCCCGTGAATACACCTCTGAGACCGAGTCATCAAGATTCTCGGTGATCCTGACCCCTGGGTCTCCTCCCGGGCTGTCTCCTCTGGGTGAATCCTCTGGGAACAACATCAGAATTCCAGCCAGCTGCCTCTCTAAAGAAATTTCTACGGAGATTTCTGACTGCTGTTTCCATGTTTCTAAGACTACTGTTTATCAAGCTTTCTCTTTTCTCTTGGTTTCATTTCAGTACTTTTGTCAATGAGGAAATCTCCGAAGTCCTCAGACTTTACCTCCCCCCCTAAACTTCCTGGCACGAGTGATTTCAGGATAACCGAAGCTGCCCATGACATTCGTCGTGACTTTTAGATCAGTCCTGATCTACAATCTCATTGTTTATATTATTTGTGCGTTCTAGATATTTTATTCATTTCCTTTAGAACCAGTTTGATACTGATTCTGGCTCTTACCAGAGTGACTCCTACTCTGAGTCTATGCTAATGGTCTAATTCACATCTTGCAGTAAAAAACAGGAGCATTAATTTCAGAAATACCTTCTTTCTCAAAATTCACACTGAGAGCACACAACTTTTTCTTAAGTACCTCTTTAATCTAACCCCATCAGTTGATTGCCTTTCCTTTATTTTTAACATTTAGTTTAAAATATTATGTCTTTTTCCATCCTCTGTGATTATGTTAGAATTCTGTTGCAGAGGGAACAGAGGTCGCAGTCTGTAGGTGACACTTCCCTCCTGTTCCTGAGATGTAACCCCACCTCCCTGCACCCTTCCCCTCAGACCTTGGGCCACCCTCACTGTTGGGGTGCCCTCACTTTTGGGGTGCTGTCTGGGAGCTAGCTCAGCAATCCTGCTCTGCCATTAAAATTGACAGCTGGCCCTCTCAATTTACAAAGATATCATGTTACAGGAGAGTTTACTATTTGTTCCCATAAATCACCCTTTGTCTGGTGCCTGTGCTGCAGACGTGTAAACAGCACAGAACCTGAAAATCCCAGGAAATCTGCACTTGGATGGTGTGGCATTTATACCACACCCTGCTCTGCAGGCATTTTGTAGATACTTTTTTTCCAAGCATGTTTTTATTACCTTTAGAGAAAGAAAGGGAGAAGGGGAGAGAGATAGAAACATCGATGATTAGAGAGAATCATCGATCGGCTGCCTCCTGTATACCCCCTACTGGGGATAGAGCCCGAACCCAGTGCCCTGATTGAGAATCGAACCAGTTGCCTCCTGGTTCATAGGTTGACGCTCAACTACTGAGGCACACCAGCCGGGCTGCAGGCATTTTCTGTTTCCAGGATAGTTCCTACTATAAATCATGGTCTAAAACAACTGTATCTCATGGGGTTCCAGAAAGAGCATGTGGTTCCCAGCAGACTGGGACCTGCAGACTAGGATGGAGGCAGTGCCTCATTCCATCTGGACCAACAGGGAGAAGCTGTCGAGACCTGATCAGGGGACCGGAGCCTGCCCAGAACCCTGACTTGGGGCCGGAGTGCTGCTGTCCAAGATATTTGCTTAATTAGCAATACATGTTCCTGTAGCCAGCAGCCAGGGGTCCACTCGGCCATTCCACATGGGACACAATATGTGAACCTCAGGGGATGCATTAGTGCTCCTGCTCCTGCTCTCAGGGCATCAGGAAACTTCTGAGTTTCGCAGCAAGCAGGGGAAGGATAGGCTCTGACCCTCTGCAAACAGACAAGCCTCCAATGACATGAGGAGTGGGTAGTGGGACATAAGGTATACCCAGGGTGAACCACCTGGCTCCGCCTGGAGGATGAGGAGGAAGCGGTTCTATTTGTGTGTGTGTGTACTAAGTGTGTATGTACTACATATGTATAGTGTTGTGTAAATTGCACCTCCACAGGGTGCAGGGGGTTCCCAGCATCCCAAGCTAAGAGCCCACATGTTTTCCGGTGCTCCACCAGGTCCCCATGGCTCGGCCTTCACCTCACCCAAGCATGTGGCCTGTGTGTTCTCTGCCAGGTGAGAACTCAGGTAGGGCCTGTGTGAGTGCACCTGCCAGCTGGCAGCCCAGGCCCGCTTTCCAAGAGCGGGGTGTGGGCACTCGGAGAGGCTGCTGATCCCAGTGTTGTTGGGAACAGAGCTGGATGCACCAGGGACAGGTGAGCTGAAGACCACCTGTGTGTGACAGACCCAGGGGCAGCAGAGGGAGGAGCTCTGACTTATGAGACACTGAGGACAGGTCTCGAGGTGGCAATTCGTTTCGTTTCAAAGATGGTAGGCTTAGGTGAGCACATAGGACATGGACAAATACTAATGGGTGTGGGACCTGGGTGTGGGTAGAGCCTGGATTAAGGGGGTTGCTACAGCAAACATAAAGATGGGACCCTAGGGCCCAGAGGTGCTGGGGCTGACCTGCTGTGCCACCGAGGGCAAGTGCCACAGGCCAGGGTCCCACCCTGTTCCCAGCTCACAGGGTACCACATGCAGGCAGGAACTAAAGGGGGCTGTTCACCAGCTCTAGGGGTGCCTTTCAGAACAAAGGGAACAATACAACAGACAAATCAACTACCCCAATCAGTGAACCCACAAACCGCTGCCCCTCCAAAAACCAAAAACAATACAAACAAACCAACAACGGTAGCGTGTGCACAAGGGGCAGGGCATGCTGAGTGAGATGCAGACAGGCAGGGCCGCTACTGGCGGGAGGGAGGGGGGGAGGCAAGGAGAGCCCTGCCAGGGAATGCAGGGTGTGGTTCGTGTCCCAGAGAGAAGGTACCCACAGTGGATAGGCAGGACAGAGAGGCAGGCAGCTTCCCAAGATCAGTCAGCTGGTCAGAGCAAAAGCCAAGGTTCAAGGAATAGACGAGGTGCCCTGAGGGGAAAGTCCCAGGCCCAGGACTCAGTCCTTCCTTCATGCACCTCCTGCCCGTGGACCCTGGCCTGACACGG